AATCCTTTTGTAGTGAGGGAAAAAATCCATCTGCACCTGGCACCCGCTCCTCTGCTGAGGCTGCTATTGATTCAGGGGAATGAAATGGAGCCGCGCAGCAGACTCCAGAGCCACCCCAGCCTGGCGAGGCCTCGGAAAAGCAGCTGCCTCTGCCTGGATCCCCGTTTCCTGTAACATCACAGGCCAGGCTGGGCAGCGGCTTGCAGCTGGGATGTCCCAACCTGCAGCTGGTCCCGGCCAGTAGGGCAGCGGGCTTTGCCCAGTGCACGCCGAAGCCAATGCTAACGCTCCCATTGACTTTGAGGCCCACGCTGAGCCCCCTACAGACACCCCCCACCATGGCTGAATTGCTGGCGCGCGGGGTAACGCTGACTATAAAGTTTTGCAAACTAAAGTGCTGCTTCCCCGTGCGATGTGCTCGCTGCGCGGGCCGCCGCCTCTGCGCACAGCGCGCAGCCGCTTCCCGGTTACCTGAGCGTAGCCATCGGGCTCGTCTCCTGCTGCCCCAGCAGCGGGCGGGGAAGGCTCCGCTCCGGCTGGGGTGAGGGCAGGGGCGCTGCGGCTCCCCGGCGCCTCGCCGCTCTCGCTCTGCCCTTGGGAGTCGCTGGGACGCTGGCGGAGCGCCCCTCGCTCCGGGGTCTGGGCGCCTCTCCTGCCGCCGCTCAGCGCGTCCAAGTCCAGCGTTTTGTTTTCAAAGGCTCCTTCCACGCTGCAGAACATGCCCCCGAATTTCTGCCTGGGCTTGGGGCTGCCCGAGCCCAGGGCCGCGAAGTACGCGGGCAGGTCGGGCTCCCTCCGCTCCTGCTGCTGCTGCCTCTGCTCTGCCATGGCTGCGGGCGAAGGAGCCCGCCTGGGACGGCCGGGGACCGGGCAGTGGAGCGGTGCCCGCGGGAGGGCGGCTCACACAGCGCTGGGGGAAGAATGGCAGAGAGAGCAGGGGCTCAGCCTGGTCCCCTTGGCTCCAACGTGTCGCGTGTGGAAGCCCGGCCGGTGATTCGTTAGCCAGGTAACGCCTGTGGGCTCTCCTGTGAGCCCGACAGACAAGGAGCTGTCCAAGGCGGTGGTGCTGAAAGCATCCGCGCCACTGGAGTTCATGAGGACGACATCCCAGGGGGAGGCCACCTAGGACTTTGATCTGCTAGGGAAAGAGCCGCTAGAAAGCACCTTTGTGGCAACTTGCTGATAGAGTGGCTTTACTAAAAGCTGAATCTTTCACAATCACCTCCCCTTTCCATAACCGTGTCCACAGTGTCACCGCTTCCCTTAGCCTCTGCCTGCCACGTTTCAGCCGATTAAATCTACCTTCAGTGTGATTTTTCCCTCCCTCGAAGGAAACCAACTGGCCTTTGGTAAATGTATGCAGAGCGTTTAGTGTCACCCCAATCCACACCACAGTGCAGCAAATGTGTCTTTGGGCTGCACTGAAAGTGAAGCGGAGTACAGTATAAGCTTCTTTAAGTAATAACGAGGAGGGTGGACAGTGCCTGTAGTTTTCTAACGCTGGGAGTCAAAAGGCCTTTTCACCTTTTTTTGGTTCTAGAAATCTGCGAACAGCAATGCAATGGTGAATCTATCATGCCCGTTAAACATTCAACATGATTCTTTTACAGTGATAAACACTAAATGCCACTTCTGAAACTTAGTATTTCCTGATGTAAACTATCAACTGTGAAGAAGCCACCAACTTTTAATGGAGTGAAATTTACAGGCTTCTCTAGGTACTGAGCTTTTAATTTTCAGTCTCTTTATTCTTTCCAGTGAATAGTTCTGTTTTTCCTCAATAAAAAAACCCTCTCCTCTTTTGCATTATTATTCCAGCCAAAAGAATAATATTTACATATGCCGGGATAGAGTTTGTGTTGGTAATTTATTTCAACGTTCTTTCCTAATTGGAATAATATTTACATTTTGGGAAAATTTATGAATAATTTCTAAACCATTAAGGATTTCAGAAAGCCAAGCACTAAATTATCTCTAGATGTCATCGGATCTCAGCCATATGGCAATACCAAATTTCATAGAATATTCTCTAGCTTATATGAGTTGAGGTAGGTTTGTAGTTTCTGAAAGGCATTGTCCTTTCTAAGGTTGAATAGAATTAGGTCATCATATAGAACTGCAAGCTTAGGACCTGATCCAACACTCATTGAATTCAGTGGAAAGACTCCCACTGATTTCAATGGGCTTTGGATCAGGCTTTTAGGGCCCAATCCTGCAAACATGTAAGCATGTGTTTAACTTTTACCCATGTGAACAGTCTTATGGAAGTCAATGGGAGTAAGGTTATTCACATACTTATGGATTTGTAGAATCATTCTTTATGTATGATGTAGCCATGGGGGAGACTCAGGTAATAATTTCACAATATTGCAGTAGAGTAAGTATTGCTATAGTTAATATAACAGATTCAAAGTCTTCCTTCTCACCACCACAAGAACAACAAAACACATTTTCTATTTTGAAGGTTTAAAACAGACTTTTTTATTAAAAGTTTACAATAATTTATGTATTTTACAAATGAATAGAAAGTCTTTCGATATATATCATATGAATCACAATACAAAAATATGTGTAAAATTTTGTAGTTGATCAACATACAGTCCTATTTTAGGCCTGTCAATTACCATTTCAGCACTGAACCAAACATTACATATTTAGGATATGGTTATTAAGAGATTACATTAGAGAACACAAATAACTCACGGCATGTTTGCCATAGGAGAAAACATTTTATATAATTTATATTTTCCATAAATTTACAATAGATCTTTTTATAAAATGTACAATAAATAAATACATGGTTTAATACACATATTCACAATATGATTTCCTGAGTCTAAACTAAATCCATTACTGTGCTAAAACACACTACCTATTGTAAGGTTTTAATGGTAGCATTATAGATGCAAAGCAATTTGGCATCAATCCACCAAGAATGACTCTCAGGTATATTATTTGTCTTAACTACAAGTGTTTGTGTTAACAAGCTGTGTAAGGCACTCAAGGATATACTGAAGGCTACAGATATTACTAGAGTTGAACACTTTAAATAACAGCCACAGTCCTTCAACAGCTTGAACAATAGGTATAGGCCTGAAATACACAAAATACAGGTGTCAACAAATTAAGCTGCAATTCAAATGGATTTTAGTTTAGACAATCAAAAACATTTGTGTTGCTATGCGCATGCTGTCTAATCAATCAATATAATTAGTGTTATCTAGACAGTGAACATTTATGACTACTTCAGTGTCTCTTCAGAATCTCTGCTATTATGAGTCAATGCATTTACACATAATTTTCAAATTCTCATAGGCAAAACTTACCTATCATAATATATTAATAACCAACCTAATGTTATACTTCTTTTTATCTGGCCCTCAATCTTGTAATAATTTGAAAGTAACATGCAAGATTTGGGGTATGCTAAGAAAACACGTAGAAATGATGGTTTAGATTGTTCAACCCTTACTAACATTGGTGAAAACTTATTCACTGGAATAGCCCAATGAGACTTACTTGTGTGAGTAGTAAGTGCTCACCAGTGTAAGTAATGGTTGTGCAAACTAGCCTTATCTTTTAATTTCCAAGTTTTTCATTTTTATATTAAATCTATATGAAAAAAAAACTTTATTACAAAAACTTAGATTTAGGCTAATGCCCCACCCTGTAATCCTATATTTTTAGGATCAGATTTTAAAAAGGTGCACAAGACCCATAACAGAAAAAGATAGCAACAATCACAGGATCTGATACTGCCATCCTTACATAATGGCTTCAATGACACTGTAATTGGAACAAAGTGTTATTCAACATATGTTAAGTTGGTAGAATCAGGCCCAAAATGATTTAAAGTTGACAGTGAAATAAAATCTGTTTAAAATATGTAGCACATATGTGAATGCAACATCTGTGTAAAAGAAATATTTTAAAAACATTCATTGAGCCATTTTTTCTTTTCTATGTACACAACATTTTTTTACATATAAACATTAACATCTCCATAAGTATCATCACTTATTTACATGCTTCTTTGTCCTGTACATTTAGCTTTTTTTAAAGTGGGGTTTAAGAATATTTAATTTGGGGATGGAGAGAAGGGGAACTGAATTCTAGACATATATACAACATGCAAAACCATGGCCCAAGTAAACAAAAAATAAATGTATTCAAGCCAGTTTCAAATATGCCTGCCTTTACATTCTAAACTCCTAACCAGTGCATCAAATATTACCATGCATATCCACACCAGTAGCAGCATTTGAATTCCTAAGCTTACCTGGAACATTAGGTCTGTATAGTCAGGCATTTAATTTAAGGCATTTTTATAGATGCCTGCATAGTACATTCCATTAAACTTTAATCCAACAATTTCTTATTTAGAGTTCAGTAACATCTCAGATAGAAAGCGGTTATATTATTATGTGTCATTCTAAGTAAATAAAATATTTAAAGACAACATATGTTTAAGTAGAATTAAATTGTACATTTAGGATTAAACAATATTGTAAGCATGAAATGCAAAGGTAAAACAATTAAATCAGCTATACAAATCCCAATATTGGCATCTGTATCTTATCCAACTGGAATTAGTTGAATTACTTCTATAAATTGGTCATATTTTCATATCAAAACTCACACTTCTTGATTTAAAAGGTCTTGACACACTAACAAATGCAAATATAACATTTTGATGAGAAACACATTTCCTCTTCTTTCTTATTTCCCCTTCTTTTTGTATGGTTGCTTAAAATACATGTATCCAGTTCAGTTTGGCACTAGATGTGCCAGCTTCTGGAGGACTTTCTAGAATTTAAATTCTGAAGATTTTCTTCTTAGCTTCAGTTATAGAATAAATGTATGGAAGCAGTGTAGAAAACAAACACAAGTATTTACTACAAAAGAGATGCTCTTTCCAGCATGTAATGATAGTCCAAACTGTTTGGGTGTTTCTATTTCATGAGATTTAGTAGGTTGTATTAGATAGCTATCAGTTAAAACCAGTTAGAAATGGCTGCATCCACTTGCTGTTTTCTCACTGGAAGAAAATTGAAAGATAATGTAATGTAAAATTTTGAAGCTATATTGTGGACTTCTTCATGCAGTATACAATCAATTTTTTTATCCACAAAAGTAATTAACAAAATAACTAAAGCAAAAGGAAAATATTAAAGTGACTGTAAAAATGGCACACTTTATTTGACAGATCTAGTACCTGTTTTTATGTGGAGACCTATAAACTTGCTGTAGCAACAAAAATAAGTTTTTACTACTTTAAATCTATCAGCACTGCAGAACCAGTAAACTATGGGAGAATTAATTAGATTCTTCTCTGGTTTGTGCTTCATCAAAGGAAAGGTTAACTAAGTTCCAATTATCAACCCAAATTGTGCCTTGACATTACATCTGTGCAGTCCCATTTAAAACAATGTAAAGATGTAAAAAAAAAAAAGTCAGTCGGATTGCACAGGTGTAACCCAGGGCAGATTTGCGACTGGAATATTTATTACTGGAGATAATGTACAAGCCAGAAAGAACATAATTCAGCTGCCAGTTTGAGTCTGATGGTCTGGCATGAAGAAAAAAGTCTTCTATACTAAGCATATTTTAATGTGGAAATCACTGTTTGATTCTGCAAACACTTATGCATGTGCTTAACTCTACACACCATAATACCATTAACTTCAATGGGATTACACACAATGTGTAAAATTAAGCATGTGCATAAGTGTTTGCAATTCTAACGTACTTCCTTTATTTTCTTTTAACCTTTTCAAATGTTGACAAGTGTAAGTCGGGATTGGCAGTGGTACAAGTGTAGTGGAATTTTCATGAAAAATAAGAGGGAAACATGGGGTAATATAAAAATGGGAAACATGAGATGATGTAAGGTAAAGACTCAGGAGAAGGAGCCAATTATTGTTGAGAAGATCAGCCCTATGTTGAATGGATGGTTGTCAAACAACCATTTGGAGAAAGGGATGGAATGGAAATGTTAACAAAATCTTAGATAAGTTAAGGAGGATGAAGTGTCAAACATTTTATGGCTTATTTAAACCTTTCAAAATTTCAGAATTTGAGATAGGATAACTTTTTAATGTACAGTAGAACCACTAGTGATATATAAATATAGCTACACATTTGCTACTGTACAGGTCACAATGTAACTAGCCATTGAGAACATCCAGTGGCTACTTCGTGGAGGATATGTTTTCCTTCACCCATCAAGTTCATGCTAAACCATTGAAAAATACATCCTTGCATCCTAAGTAAAAAAGCCATTGCCAAGCACGAACACATTCAAAAATACACACTAAAATGTATTTAGTATATCATTCCTTGAAAATGCAAACATTGCTGAGCAGTCATATTAGCCTAAAAGGCTGTTAACCATGTCAAACATTGTGTATGACACTTTCCTGTCTCAAATATTAGATGTTCTTTCCTGAATCTGGCATGTGTGGTGGTATGGTTAAGACAATGACAGTTGGAGGAACTATGAGTCTGACTGATTGCAATGATGATCCACCCTTAGGTCACTATTATAGCGTGTTTGGTTTTGGTTCTTTGTTACCCATTGGATGTTAGAATAATAAAGCTTGTAAGTTGATGAAACAGCATTGTATAAATGGATTACAGGCAAGTCTTCTTTCTCTTGTATACATATTATGCTATATATGTGTTGCTTAGGCCTAGTATCCATCTCTGTCTTTGATATAAGCTGTGTGATGCTTTGGGAGATGTCATGAGTGGTCAGCTTAGAGAGCACATTGGTAAAGGGTGAAGCATTGTGAGTGGGGTGAATATTTCCTTAGAGATGTTGACGTGGCACAATTGGCTGAACTTCCTAATAGTATATGGGAGCTAGATGGCCCCCTTATCAGAGACTAAAGGAGCAAAAACTCACTGAGATGAATCTAGCAGAATTTTCTAGAACTCATCTCCACTAGGTTTTGTAACCTTGCAGATCAGGAAGGGAGCAGAGGCCTCCTAAATCTGTGGTTCAAGGCTATTTGTGGGGAAGTGATGCATAAGCAATTAATATAAATACATAGTACTGTAGGGATCCCTGAAGAGATAAGATTTTGAGAAGGATTTAACTGAGGAGACAGTAGTGACTTGGTGGCCAAAGTAGGGAGTGGGGCTCCATCTGTAATGGATGGCACAGAAAAACACATTGAGAGATTGGTAAAAAAACAAAAACAAATACAGCTGGCATCAAGGCCAACATACTTTTGGAGCAGAAGGGGTGGGAGGGTGACATGCTATGGGAAATTACGTCTGCACATTCGTTTCCTTTCTGTTAATAGCATTTTTTGCAACAAAGCATGGGGTATGATTAAGGATGTGCTGTAAAACAGATCCTTTCCTTAGGTTTGCCAATGCATTTTGTGACTGATGTTTAATTTGTTTGATTGTAAGCTACTCAGGGCAGGTATCATATCTTGTACAATAACAAGCACAATATTCAGGATTAACACATAATAAGTAAGCTCGAGATTCGAATTTCAATGAAGCTAGTACTCAACAGGAGTGAGAGGGGCTGAACTGAGACCTAAATAAATGAATAATAGTAAAATGCAACAGAAAATTGTGAAATGTTTGTAAGTGCTGTAGAGGCTAAACAACTATATACATGAGAAATTATATATTAAACTTGAAAAAATAAAGATATTACAAATTGATTGAACCGTAATCATATTTTTGTGAAAACTTAGAGATATATGACTACGTCCATAGTAGTTACTATGACCCCCACTATGATTGCTGGGATCTCAGTAACTGTACCTATTATGAAAGTACAGTCAGTGAGCACTATCTCAATTGCTGGCCAGCACCTACACCATGAAAAAAGCAGTAGTACCAGTATCATGTTGACTTCCAGTCACTCCAGGGCATAAAGGAGATGGAATTCTTGTTGTCTGTTGTGGCACCAGGAATTATTATGGTTGTATATTAGATCAAGAGATGGTGAGCTTTATCTGCTCTTGCAGCATGTTCTAAAGGCTTTCATTCTTTAAGTTGTGTGAGTTGTAAGGGTTGTTTTTTGGGGGGTTTCTTTTATTGGTCAGTTTCAGGAAAGACATTAAAATTGAAAACTTTTTGTGGTATGTCAGCTAGAGCAGGCAATAACTCTGCACCCCGAGGTGGATTTTAAACTCATTTGTGGTGCGATTTATTTTAAAACAAAAGCAATTTGTGAAAAATGTCCTGACCCTTTAAAGGCCAAACATGAATACAACACAGCTTCTCTCACCAAAGGCCAGGAAAGGTACAAGGCATGGTTTGCTTTAGCCAAGTCAAATACATGTGTGTGGCTAAGTTCAACAAAGCTCCAGAGAGAGAGAGGGATTCCCCCCTTTCCCCCCTCAGCCCCGCTCCAGCCAATTTTCTATTCCTCCTTGTAAAGATCCTTCCTCCAGGATTCTCACCAGCAGACTAAATCCCCAGCTCCCCACGACTGCCCTAGTCCTGCTATCCTGCAGCCATTGTAGGCAACTTCATCCCAGAAGCGGCCAGCAGTAGATCCAGCTCCTAGGCAGGGGTGCCACGGGGCTCCATGCACTGCCCCCGCCCTGAGCAGCCAATGGGAGCTGGCAGGGTCAATGCTTGCAGGCAACCGACACGCGGAGCCGCTTGCGCACCTCTGAACTGGACCTGCTGCTGGCCTCTTCCGGGGCACAGCACTGTCCATGGTGCCAGGACAGGTGCCTGCCTTAGCACCCCCACTGTGCCGCTGACTGGGAGCCACCCGAGGTAACCCCGTGCCCCATCCCCATGCCCAAATCCCCTGCCCCAGCCCTGAGCCCCTTCCTGCACCACAAACCCCTCATCCCTGGCCCCACCCCAGTGCCTGCATCTCCAGCCCAGAGCCCTGACCCCCTCCTGCACCCCAATCCCTTGCCCCAGCCCAGAGCACCCTTCCACACCCTGAACTCTTCATTCCCAGCCCCACCCCACAGCCCTCATCCCGCACCCCAACCTTCTGCCCCAGCCATGAGATCCTCCAACACCCGAAAACCCTCATCCCCAGGTCCGTTGGGTCGCGGGCATCAACAATTTTCTTCAACTGGGTTGTCAGAAAAAAAGTTTGAAAACCACTGACTTAGAGGACCTAATAACAAAGAGAAGCAGGAAGCGCCAGAGGTGGAGTCAAGATAATTGAATAATTCTACATAAAGCCAAATGATATAATTAACTGTGTTCACTGAGGACCATGTCCATACCAATTGAAGTGTCATCCTTCTGTTGTTTTGTGCTAACTTTTCTATGGAAGTGACTAGAGGATTTTTTGTTTATTCATTTTAAATGTTATTGTTTTCATCCCCGTTCAATTCAAAAACAGCTGAGGGGATTTTTGCTAAAATTTAATACACACACAAAAATCACCTTCCAAGCATGGAAAAATTCATCTGAAGAGGTGATTTTTTCAGAAGGTTCTAATTATACGAAAAAAGAATTTATCATGGAAAGTTTTTCAAAAATGAGGATAGTAGCAGAACAATGACAACTCTGTAAATGAGCTCTTGTTATTGATGACTCATTACGATATCATTTAAAAATCAACCTTAAAATGGGAGTGATCAAAGATTATGGATAATAATTCACATTGAAAATGAACCATTGACTTAAATCGGTCAGTTATCATATTACTGCATATCCCACTACGAATACTGTAATTCAAGGGCATATATAGGATAGCTAAAGGGATTTACTAGCAGTTTGCTTAAACACATCTCCCTGAGCTGAAAATCACATTTCACATGATCATGCCTTTAGTATTCTTCTAGTAGAAGGACAGGAGGATAATGGTTAATGGATAAGACCATTCCCAATTGACACTCAGCAGATGGTCCATCTGTCCTTACAGCCAACGTTGAACCAGGCATTAGTAGCATAAGCCACCATATGGCTTAGAGAAACAGACACTGTTAGCACTGCAAGTGGGTTATTTTATTATTCTTTGGGGAAAATAGGATGAAGTTTATATTGAAGACTGTAATGTCATTAAAACTTACATTGAGCAGCTGAATTAAT